ATACACTATAACACAGAAAATGTCAGTCGAAGAGTACCTGTGTTTTGTGGCCAGTCTTCTGGGCCTATGGTTCGGCTTCTCTGTTATTATATTAACAAACTTTTTGCGATATTTTTACAATAAATTTGTGATGAAAATGTTTTCAAAACAAAACTCAATAATTAATTATAATAATAATAATAATTTTCAACTATATTTGCAAAGCGTTAATATTAACCGAAAACGAATAATGAATTTATTTACAAATAGAATTCGCTAACTTTGTAATTATATAGCAATTGTAATGGATAATTTTATTAATTACAAATTAAATTACTAACACTTTGTATGACATTTATAAATATTTATCAACAAACTCCATGAATATCCCTTTTGAAAACATGTGGCAAACTTATCATCATTTGTTATCTAACTTAAACAAACTTAATCGTATAATTAAATATTTTTCTTTGAGAAATAGTTGACTAAGTAATCGCAAACACTTCAAACTGATATGATTTAGTAAACTGGCTTAATGTCTGTAAATACCATTAATGTAAATGTATATTATATTAAGTTGTATATTGCATTTTAATTAATTAATAATTGTCAAAATTATGCATATTGTAATTTACTTAATATGTTTAATCTAAAATAATAACTAAAATTATAACACATAAATAATTTTAAAAACTCATAATAATAAACCACAGCAATACCAGTGATAATAACTCACCATGAACACATCACAGGATCCCATATTATTAACCAGCAGTCAAAACAATGTCAACTATGAATCATTTAACGAGGCTATGGGTGTCGGGCGTAACCCCAAGACACCGAGCGGTCGGATACCTGTGCGCTATATTATGGCCGCCATTGTATTGATGGCCACATTCACGACATACAACTGTCGCTTCAATCTAAGCATAGCTATTGTGGAAATGTCTAACTATACAGACAACAGTGCAAACAAAACCTCATCGGGTAGTGACGTGTGCTCAGCACCGGTAGCCACCAATCACACCAACGGAACTTCAAAAAATCACCAAGGTAGCAACGGTGAATTTGACTGGGACCAAAAGACACAGGGTGTAATACTGGGCGCATTTTTCTACGGCTACGTACTGTTCCAGGTGTTGGGCGGACGGTTGGCCGAGCTATTTGGCGCCAAATGGCTGTGTGCCGTGAGTCTGGCACTGAGCTCGTTGCTCAACGCGTTGACACCCATCATAGCCCGCGCCCGTATCTATTGGCTACTGTTGGCCAGTCGTGTAGTGTTGGGCGCCTTTCAGTCGGTACTGTTTCCCGCCTGCTATGCACTGGTGGCCAAATGGACGCCCGAACACGAGCGCAGGTATACTAGAAAAATACAATTTTACAATAGTTTTATCACTGATAAAAAATATAACACAACTATTTCTAGTTTTTGTTGTTGTTTTTTATTTGTGATATAATTATTAAAATTTTTAACAGTTGTGTTAATTACAAACTTTCTTTACAGTGTAGTTCTATCTCTACCGTTAATTGGCGGTAATATTGGCACAATTGTCACGTCAGCCCTAACCGGGTATCTGACCGAGGAGGGTTTTGCCGGCGGCTGGCCATCCGTTTTTTACGTATCAGGTAATATTTTTTGTACATCACCATTTTCAAACTAAAATTTTATTTAAAAATACCTGTTTTAATTACATTTATTTGCAGCAATAATGACTAGTGTTTTAATGTTAATATGGATAGTATTAGTGCAAAGTGAACCGCATCACCATCGTTGGATGACCCATAATGAACTAAAAATAATTAACCCAGTTCGTTACGCTAATATCAACAACAATGTTAATAGTAAAACAACGGCCAGTAATGGTATAGCGGGTGTACCGGCAAAACAGCGCACATCTGTGCCGTGGCTTAAGATATTCACATCATTACCGGTGCTGTCGTTAATTGTGGTTAAGTTTACCATTAATTGGATATCCATAATGTTTTTGTTGAAATTACCCTCATATTTAAAAGTCGTATTCAATTATTCAGCTGAACAGGTAAATATTTTAAACTAGTTTGTTAAATATTATTATGCTACTTAATTATTTTAATAAATTATACCTTTAAATATAGAATGGGTTTATTAATGCTGGTGTAAATGTAACTGTGCCTATTGGGTATGTAATATAATTATTTTACAATAAATTATGTACCTTGTACAATGTAACAATATAAAAATCTGTTAATATATTTTTAGATTATTTATTGGTGGTTATGTATCTGATTATTTGATCAGTAAAAAGCATTACGATAAAACATTAATAAGAAAAATATTTCAATCATTGGTTATAACTTAAAAGTTTCATTACAGCTGTAAAGTTACATTATATTTTGTTACTGTTATTAATATTTCAGCCACGTTTGGATCGGCCGCGTGTTTAGCAGTTATACCATTAGTAAATTGTAATAATTCACTGGTCATTGCTCTACTTATATTGGTTTGTAATTCAATCTTAAAATGTCCAATATTGACAATTAATTTACAATATTTAATCAGGGTGTGTTTCTATATGGATTACGTGGTGGTGGCGATGTGCCGGTTGACGCTGGTATGCAAAAGTTTTAGCATGTTTATCATACTTAAACAAATCTGATATTAATAAGTTTAAATTTTATTTACAATAAATTAAGTTAACTACCAATAGGTATCAATAGTAATACAATAATGATCATGTTAAACTTACTTTATTAACAAACATGGTAATTCTTTTCGAACCACACTAGACATGACACTGCAATACGTGGGAACAGTGTTCGCGATCGCAAACTCCATAGCGTTTACGTGCGGTATAATGACACCACTAGTAATCGGGGTAATAGTGGGCGACGGGACGGAACACGTGCGCCGGCAGTGGGCGTACGTGTTCTACATGTCGGCCGCGCTTAACGTTTTTGGCGGACTTGTGTTCGTTGTGTTCGGTTCGGCTAAACAGCAGGAGTGGGACAAACAGCCCGTCAGCCATAGTATTGAACTTAACAAATGAGTGACCATGATTTAATGTTGTAATCATAATACTTTATTGATACTCTTACAGTATTAGGTTAGCTAATCATTAATTATTAAACCTATTTTTATTGACTATTTTGCTGTGAAATTTATAATATATCTTAATAATACAATATTAATACAATATTATATTTTTATTAATTATATTGACATTTAAACCTGGTACATGTAATATTTATTTAATTTATTTAATAAACGCTTATCTTGAATTATAGTCTACAAATTGACTTGGTCATTCGGTAATTACGCTTAATTAATTGCATCCCTGCTCTCCCTCAAACCGGTCATGGGCATGATAATTATTAAGACTATTATATTTCAAATATTTTTAAGTTATTCAAATTTAAATTATTCAATGGATCGAAGGTAATAAAAGTACAGCCCTCCGAATTGTGGTTATGCTGTAGCTTCACGGTTAGATATTTCCATCATTCACATTTACCCATCAAATTTTTGGGTAAATACATTCAACCAAAATGAGTAAAACTTGCAAATGTGTAAAACTATTTAACCACTTGTGGGTGAATGTGTCATTTTGTGGACGTATTGTCTGTTGGGCCCATTAGGTGTCCAAAACTAATTAGACATATAATTACATCTCAATATCACAGTCAATGACAGAATACAATTCATGAGTTGAATGGAAAAACATATTACCCT